CGACGTTTGTTTTGTGCGTCCGTGTTGCGGTTGTGAAAACGCGATTTAAGTTTTATAAAAAACGCAGGCCGCGGGATCGATCTTGCGGCCCGCGTTTCCATCTACATTCCTCAATTTATTTCCTTGCGTGCCTCTATCCCTCGCTCGACTGCAATTGCGTCTGTTCTCCCTCGCCTCTTCCTTAATCTTCGTCTCCTCGCTCTGTCTCCTCACCCCTTAATCTCCCGACTCACTGAGCGAAACCCTAGAGGACAAGGCAAATAAGAAGAGTAGCAGCTTCTATATCACGGCAATGGCAAAGCCCAAGAGGAATTTTAAGAGGTTTCTTGTGGTTATGAAGTTCTTGATTTGCTTCTGGTTTTGAATTTATGGCCAAATTGGTAAGGATGTGCAGTGAGTAGGGTTTTATGACAGGAATACCATGATTTGGTTTTTGAATTCTTTAGCATAAATTAAATAAGCGTAGCTTTGGGGATATCAATGCAGTTTTCGGTTGTTGTGCGCGCCATTTTATTGATCTCAGTTTTGTGGCTTATTTTTTGTTGCGGAAGGAGTTACTTGTTTATACATGGATTTTAATTTTTGCGTATTGGGTTTGTTGTAGCCCGTCTGCTAGGATAGAAGGGGATGATGAATTTTGATTAGCTGCAAAAAATATAAACATGATCGTAGAGATAGTTAACTGATAATATAAGGGATAAATCCTTAAGTAAATTAAATAGTGATAGCGTTGAGCACTCTTATGGGAACTCTTCTTTCAATGATGCATGATTGATTGCTTACAAATTATTAAAAAAATTAGCAGGTGTGAGTTTAAAAAGAATAAATTTGGTGGGTGAAACTTATTTCTTAAGGTATAAATATTTAGATGTAGCATTTACATACAATCAACAAAAGACGGCTCGAGTAATGATAATTGTTATTTCCTCAGTTTATTTATTGTTCTGTATGATTTTTCTTTTTCTCTAGTATCAAATATATTGTCAAGACAGTTCTATTGCAAAAAACATTACCTAACAGGGGCAGAATGATAATTTATTCACAAACAGTTGCAAATCAACTGTTTTCAAACAGCTACCCCAAATAACCAACTAGCTTATCCGGATAAGGTGCTGATTAGCAACTTATCAAAATAAGGTGTTTATCAGCAGCTTATTCTATAAGTTGTGGTTGTTCCAAACAGACTCTTATTCTCTTTGATCCTGCTGAGTTTGAACATCAATACTAAAGTGCAATAGTGCACTCAATTCTTTACAAACATGTTTAAAGTGCGTGCGATATTTTTTAAGCGTTTGATCATGTTGTTAGCTCAATGGATGCATACATCAAAGATTCGAGAAATATTTTCTCTTCCATAAAACACAAATGCCAATTTTTCCATCGTATCTTTAACGTTGTCTTACTGAGTAATATGATTAGATTGATTAGGCTCGATAGAGTTTTGCATTTGTATCAAAAGTTGTGCATCAACTCTCATCCACTTAGAATAATTTGAGTTAGCCACTGATGATCATGTTTTTGTTCAATAGCCATGAGTATTACTGAATATGCAAGGAACTGAAACAATTGATCCAAATGATGCGACCATACCAATAAGTTGAATTATGCTTACGGATGGACATCCTTAACACAACGATGTAGAGGAGACATTTGATGGAGACGCAGTCGAAGTTCTAGTCGATCTTGATCTTCTAGATGATAGAAGTGCAACCCCTTCCTTTATGACAATCGAAGATGAAGCCGACAAGCTACTTTCGAACGAAGAAGCTGAAGCCAAAAGTCGAAGTAGATGATGACGATGCAAACCAAATCACTTCCAAGCAGAAGCTGATGACAGAGTTGAAGCAAACGAATACGATTCAAACCAAATAACTTACTAATGATGTCGAAGCTGAACAACAAACTTTCGGGTGATGACAAAGTCAACATTTTTTTCGTTCAATACCTTAATCACGTCATCTACGATGAGCGATTCAAACGAAGCCAATGAACTATCCAGACAAGAGATTTGGGCGACGCAGATGACATTGATGAACTATTCCTACAACAAAGACAAGGCTCTGATACCATTTAACGGGAAAAAAATCTTTTTTATTTTACAATTGAAAGCATATGTTACATATTTATATATATACTCATATCTCTATAAATTCTGAATATCTTTAATATAGGAAAGGTCATGTAGTTAGATCTCCTCTAGTTACATTACATAATATTAAGCTTCTTAATATACGAGTTTCTTAATATGCAAGTATCAGATTTAATACTTTTCATAACAAAATTCATTTTTCCTTCACAAGTTTTCTCTTATTTTTTTTCTTACAGCCATCACAACATTGAATATATTTATAAAGAAATTTTCTTATGTGTACATTAAAATGTGATTATATTTGATTAAATTTGTTATCACTCTAATATATCTCAACAATCATTTCTCTTATTCTAATTATGCTCAACACCTTATTGTTGGAGTCTGTTATCTATATTATAGGTGGCTAAGTTATGTTTGATATCGTATTAATCTTCTGATGATTGATCTCCACTCAACTAAAACATCGTAGCTCATAGTGGTTAAATAACTTTCCATGAATTACCATAAAGCTATATTGGTGTGGAAAACATGGAGTAGTTTTTATAATGGTGCTTTCTAACATTTTAGCTCGCTTGTTTTAGTTTTGTTCTATTTTTCAATATTTGCTGGCCATCATATTGGAAATAATGTTAATGTTTGTTTATTCAACTGCCTTTTTTTCCTAATTTATCAAGAGTTATCTCACTTTTGACCACATAAATATGTTGCTGTTGGATTATATTTTTTTTGTTTATGGGTTATGCTAAAATTTTATCGACTTAGTATAATGAGGAAAATTGAAAGGAAAAAAATTAGAAATGTAAATTGAGAAAGAAAAAATCACTATCTTGGCTCAATAATACATAATACATGAACAAAATCTAGAATTGTTGGCTCTCCCTAAATCCCCTATTTATTGATTAGGATTTAGGATCTTTAGCGCAGTAAAGAAAACTGCATAATGAGCTTTACATGTAATAAATACATTGTAATATAATATAAAAAATAGCGGCAATTGCCCTTCGTACATACTTTGATTGGGACTAATAGTTGGCCTTGTATGTAGAGGAGCAATGGGTGTCCTAAGGCATGAGCTGATTGTCTTCCCCAAGCATAGGCGACCACCTGAGCTGGATTGGTTGGGCGAGTCTTTGCATGAGTTTTTCATGAGCCTTTTGGATGTTTTCCATCTAGTCAGTACGTGAATTTGTCTTGTTCCTAATATGTTAATGTCTCGTATTGGCTTATGAGTCCATAAATCTTGCTAGCAGGTTCTTCTCGAGCTCTGTTAGCGAGTCTTCTTGGAACTTGGCTAGTGAGTTTGTTTCTATGCTTTTTTTTTTTTTTTACATTTGCTTTGAGTAAAACATGAAAATTTTCCTTGATTAGATTAGGATAAAAATACATTACTATAAATATCTTATTAGTTTTACTGTTATCATTTTTCTTATACTGCTCTCTCTAAAAGCCCAAAGCTTCTCTAATTTTGTGTCCTTCAATCATTGCATGCTTTGCCCTTTCTTTCTTGTTGAACTATGTAGCATTGACGCTTCTAAAAATGTGTTGTACCCATGTCAGACATCTATTGGACATCGACACTTGTCCGACATACCCCAACTCTTGTTCGACACGTCCCGACACTTCTCCAACTCTATACAATATTTGTCTGAAGTTTTTTCAAGACCAAACATGTCTAGGACACACCTCAACACCACATCGGTCATGAGCTTAACACGATTTCTAGAAAATGGGACATGGGAATCAGAAAATTATAAATATACTTTTAGCCTTAATTATTCCCCATAGTCGAAACCGCCTCATCTCTCGTCGTGTTGAAGCCCCCTCTAACATTCATCAAAATTAGCATCAATGGTAATTTCCTCTTTTTAATCATATGATTTTTAAAATTTTAGAAGATAAGTTGTATGAATTCTTTTTAATATATTATATCTAATTTTAGAAATTAATTTTCATAAGCACAAGTTTTTATAATAGAAATTAAATTTATGCAGTTAAATTTTATTCATGCATAATATTTGTTGTGATATTTTTAATAAAGAATAATAAAAAATATATAATTTTTATAATACTAATTAATTAATTATAAAAATGTATCTGTGACATGTTGTGTATTTTTTTTTTTCATTTATGTCATGTCCCCGTATTGTGTCATGTCCGTGTCCTTGTATCCATGTCAGCACTTCATAGATTTTGAACACGATCAGAAAGTTCTTCAATGAATTCAAGTTCAAGCAGACATCTAGGGTGTCTTCTCAAAACACAAATTTTTTTAAGACGTTGTATATAGATGACAACTTTCTACACATTTGGGCTTTAAAAGTGGGCGGCTGCCTAAATAACTACCTAGATGATGAGGTATGTGTGTTTGAGGACCAATTTCACCTGTGCCTTTGCCTTAACTTGAACGGTGCTAGCTGATATCATCAACTTCTAAGGCATCGATTCGCCCAAATCCTTCCTAATTCAATGGCTAGTCACTTTCACTGTCCATCTCCGTGTAGCTAAGCTGCCATGCAGCCTTGATCTCTTCCTCTATTTATTCACTATTAAGACATGATTATTTTTTTATTGTCTACCTATTTCGAGATGGCCAACTTGGCCAATAAAATAAAGAACTGAAAGGACTTGTAGTGCATCGTCAAGTGTCAACACACTTTGCCAATCCACATTAAAGTAGTGGCATTTAAAAAGTGGTCCACCCCTGTCTAGCCTGAGCAAGATCTAACAGGTACTGTTAGCAAAGTTGAAGATGCTTATGCTGGTTACGAAGAAGTATCTGACACTGATTAATGCTAAATGTCATTTCATTCTTAGTTATCTTCTTATTCGTACCTTCAGAACGAATTAGTTATTATTTCTATGGCTTTGAGTGAGTTTTTAACTTTGCGCTTTTTGTTTTATTTTACAGGTGGTTCATTTGATAACATTTTATACTCCTTTGTGGGGTGCTATTCTTTACAATGGGTTTACATACTACCAAGTGAATCGCATGCTGAGCAATGCAACTAGAGTATGTTACTGCACTGTAGAGCAGTTCGTAGAATTTTACTGGATAATTTTTAATTGTGTCTCTTTACTCATTTAATTAACTAACCAAAGGTTATTATGCTACCATTTTGTTAATCAAATGATCTATTTTAAGATGGCTGTTGGAATTTCAGATAGCTCTTACCGGTTTGACTCAGGGGCAGGAAGGAAGGTACTTTGTGTTTATATTTTTATGTTACTAGTTTAGTCGCCAAATATACTCAATTCAGATTATTTTTAGTCAATCTTCCTTCTAAATTGTCTCTTCATATTGATAATGCTTTCACTATGCATTGTATATGGAACAATCTATGGTTAAAAATTTTGAGATTTTAAATTGTGCTTATTGGGTAAATGACACAACTAGGGGTCTATTTGGGAACTTTCCATTTGCTTTTTGTTTTAAACCGTCTCCACAATTCTATTTGATTGTTGCCTTTCAGTTTTTTTTTTTGTGAGAAACTTTGTTAAAATGTGGCGACTAGAAGAAAGTTGTTGTCTGTTTTATTTTTTAAAAAAAATTATATTTCACAGTGCAACGATCTAAGAAGTTATTTCCCATCACAATCTTACAACCTAATATGAACCAAGGTGATTTTTTATAAAAATTAGGTCAAACAAATTTTTTATTTCATCAAAGCAAAACAACACACCCCGAATAAATAAAGATAAAGCACATACAATTCAAGACGTAGATGATCTATCTTAAACCCTAAACTTAAGGTTGAAGACCACCACAATTACATGCATAACCCTAACTCTAAACATATTAATCATTTGTATACTCTACAGTAATAAAAAATAAATTATTAAATTCTCCTTAAGTGCACCAGTAACAATACCACCCTCATAAAAAGGCACATTATCCTATAGGTGGGAAAAAAGAAACTCTTGTTGGATCAAGTTATTTGGCTCTCACGCGGCCTCATTTAATCTAAAAGCTGTAGTGACTCCTGTGAGTTTAAAATACAATCTTGTGCACATCCTTTGGACACATAAAATCAATCTTGGAGAATATCACAGCCCCAAAGAACTCCTCCAGTAGCTCATCGATCGCAGTAATCTTTGCCAACTTTGTATTAAGTGTCTCTTATATGCTATGCAACTTGATCTAGAATTTCAATTCTGCGTCTTGAATTACCTTCGCCATGTTCTTGAGCTTTATTAAAGTCTTGCACAAATCGAGGTTATCGTGACACACACCCATCTTGTCTTCCTTCTAAATACTCTATAGTGTCAAAATTAGTTTGTTACATTTCTCCACCCGGCTCGCTCCCATCACTACTCCTGAATCGCCTTCCACTCAGAAGTTTGCCATAGCAAAAGGCATTGAAATGCAGCTCTCCGCCAGGGTCCCATCCATCATGGTGCCCGATTCATGGCCAAAATCTTTAGAATCGATCTTCTCCAACATCGAATCGTATGTTATCCCGTGTTGCATGTTGTCGCTTGTTCCAAACATCCTAATGTCGCACACTACCATCTAGATGTTGCCGCTTGACTCCACTCTTGGCTCCTTTGCTAAATCCCACTTGCTTTCATTCATTATAGCCATTTGGATGTCGCACTGTTGCTTCTAAGTGCTGCTGCTCAAATCCGCTCTCGTCTTCCTCACTCAATCTCGCGGCTCCAAATCCACTTAAGCCAACGACGCTGCCCTAATGCCACACAAATCCTTTAGATTGTTGTTGGTCGAATCCATTTTCCATGCCATCGCTCGATCCTATGGTGGGTGGAGGTATTTTTTGTGTGAAACTCCATGATTTTTTTATCATTTCTTCTAGGACCATGAGTCTCCCTTCCATGGACAAGATTCACCCCTCCATGGAATAGAAAGACTCATCCATTCCATAACTGATTTGGCTCAAGTATTTCTCTAATTTCTTTTCTATATTGTCTACTTTCTTGGTTGCCACTACTCTTAGGAAGATTTTGATCACCAAGGTACAGTGGATTAGCGAATCTGACTTTGGATAGCTATAATCACACATGTATCGCAAATTTCGATTATGAAGGATGTGCGTACTGCAGATTGAGAGATAATCAGGTGGATTACCCCGCCAAAGATCCCTTCGTTGGCCTCTCAACTTTCTCGAATCGCGATTGTTTCACTGGGCTAGGTCACAAAAGCGACATTGTACATTGTGATCCCTCCCAGCTAGCTTGAATTGTGGTTGTATCGTGAAATTAGGGCGCGACGTGACACCTTGTATGCCATGATCCCATCTTGCTCCTCAACAGGGACTATTTCGTGTAGTTTAGTCATAAAAGCGGTGACGCGAAGGAGACCTGTACACTGTGATCCCGTCATTTGCATCCCATGTATGTCGGATCGAGTAACCTTATTTCTCTTTATGCCACGATTCTTCTCAGGATTCTATTGTCTACTATGTGGAAACTCGCTAGATCCCTTCCTTGCTTCCTAGAACCAATTTTCATGATACCAGTTTGATATAAACTAAAACGATTTTAACAAAAATTAGGGTAAACAATTCCTTTATTTCATCAAAACAAAACAACACAACCCAATACATAAAAATATGCACCTACAATTCGAGAGGTTGGCGATCTCTCTCGACACCTACAATTTGAGAGGTAGGTGATCTCTTCCAAACCCTAAACCTAAGAATTTAGACCACAATCTCATGCATAACCCTAACCTTAAATATATTAGCTCAATTTATATCCACAATGATAAATAATAAATTACTAAATTTCTCTTAGGCGCCGGCATAACACAACTAGCTTGACAAAAAGCTATAGCTCCAAGAAAACACTATTCTGAATGTACGCACTTTTAAACTTTAACTGTGTATATGGCTGACCGCAACTTCTGATTACTTATAGCGATATTTCTTTATTTACAGGCATTAAATAAGTGGGGCTACTATCCGTTGATTTTGATCGGGTCTTGGGCATTTGCTACAATTAATCGTATATTTGATTTTCTTCATCCCGACCATAAGATCTTTTGGCTCTCACTTGCAGATGTTTGGTTTGCGGGACTCATGGTAAGTGTATTTTAACCTTTTAACTTTCTGCTTTTTAACTGCATTCTTTATTCAGTCTATTGATTTTCTTCTTTTTTTTTTTCGATATGATTTTAGCCATTTATATTTTTAGCCATTTATATAAATTTTTTGTATCGGAATGGAATTCTTAGGCACACGAGGTTTGTCGGGAGGCTCATCTGGTAGCCTCTGTGCAATCTTATATATATATTATTCTGTGTTGTCTATCTAGGCGAAATGAGACCATTTTGAGCTTTTCGCTATTTAATTCCGGGATTAGGCACAAAAGATGTCCTCTTTTTTTGTAAGAGCAAGCGGCAATGGATTACGTGTGTCATATTTCAACCAAATGAGGATTATGCATGCTTAGTAGTATTTGATATGGCTAGAGCCTGCAATGAATTAAGAACTAGTGCTTTTAATGGGGTTGTATGCGTTCTATTTGTATGGGTATGCAGAAAATTTTGGAAGCTCAGAAGTAACTTTATATGGTAATAAATCTTCAACATAGAAAATATGATAACTAACAAGTTAGAAAGGCAAAGCGAGAACACGCATAATATATTATATGGGCAGACTTTGTGTCACAACTCGGTCAGAGAGCTTTACATTTCTAAGGGGTGCATCAACATCGGGTGGTAAAATTTTAATTTTATATTTCATTATTTATCACTAATAATTTATAATCCAAATAAGTTGAAAATGCCGCTAACAGAAGTAATAAAATCTATTGTGAATTTTTTTCCCTTAAGTTGGTCGTGCTATCTCTTCTTACATTCATTTTCTAGCACAAGTCTTAAAGTTGAATTTGTTAGTTTAAATTCTTATGAGTTATCAAATACTCAGGTGAATACTTAAAACTTCTAAGTTATAGTAATGAAATAAAGGAAAATAATGTGCATGCTAGTCCAAAATACTGTCAATCAGTATAAAAATTATTTGTCAGTTTGCTTTTTCAAATAAATTTGTTCATGATAATTCAAAATATTCATTGTCTTAATACATTATTTGCATGTCTATATTATTTTACATTCAACCGTCATAAAAGCATCATCTAAATTATATTAATAAGTCATTTCAATATCAATAATATTTTCTTAATATACATGCACGAGTACTTTAGCATCCTCAGCTAGTACCATAAGTGGGTGAATTTTATCATATTCAATATGTACATACAATAACAAATCTTTGTCCCACTAAGTGAGGTTGATTATATGAATCTTTTTTCTCCATTTTGTCCTATTTAGTGTCATACTTTTATTTAATTCTAATAAATCAATATAATTTTTTTTTTTTGTAGTATGTCTAAATATTTTTAGGTCTACTTATATCTTTCTTAACATAAGTCAATTCTAATACATGTACTCTCATAATTGGGTCATCAGATTGTCGACATTTAAACTGACCAAACCATCTAAGGCGGCTCTCTCTGATCTTCTTTGCCACTGGAGCTACTCTAATACTTTCATTGATATATTTGTTTCATATTTTATCTCTAAATGTAGAGCACTCATCCACCTGAGCATTCTCATTTCGATAATTAATATTATGCTTCTCTTTTACAAGCCAACATTCTGTGCGAACAAGCACTGCAGGTCTCACTAGCATCTTATAAAATCTTCCTCTAAGTCTAAGTTTAGGTTTTAGATATGTAATTACATAGGGACTAAGTGGTATGTCTGTAAAACTTGCTTTATTTACATACTTTTTTTTTTATTATTGTTGCCAATTAGCCTCAACACGTGCAAAATAGAGCTTGAGATGCTGAGGTGGGTGAGGATGGCTGTTTTGCAAGATAGGATTGAGTGGATTTATGTATTTTTATTAAAAGGGATTATTTGTGGGTATCTTGTGCAATTTCTCATTTGTCATCTATCTCGATTTGCATTGCATCAAATTGCGTGTGAGAACCAAATAATATGGTTATCATTTATAGATAATTTTAACATCTTGGACGTGCTTGTATAGTTTGTTTTACATACAAAGGACTTTTGAGCAATTTCAGCGACAAGCAAGACAATTTGAGCTTGAGTTGTGCGACCTTGCATTTTGAGCAATTTCATTGTGATTTCTTATTTTGATCGTAAAATACTGGGGTAATTTTGATGTTTTGGACGAGCTCATGCAGTTTGTTTTGTAAATGGGAATCATTTGGGTAGTTTCAACAGTGATCAAAACTGTTTGGACTTGATTTGCAAATCATTGTATTTGTTGCTTATCATGTTTGTTCTGCAAATGACTGATGTTTCAATCAACTTTACGCATAAGTGATGCATTTTAATCCCTATTTGAGTGATGCCACCCTCATTGTTCGTTGTTTTCATCATGTTCGAACAGTATGACTTATGAAATTTAAAGAGGTCAACAATTATCACCAATAATTAATGGTTACATCTAAAACAAATCATTTTTTTTTTTGTAAATTAGTTGATCGTGTTAATCTTCAAATAGTTATTTCAATGTCACATCGAGGGCCTCACTTAATGGGTCTTTGAGAGTTTATCCGGATGTCACGCTAAAGGTATCTTTTAATTTTGCAGATTCTGCTTCATACCTTTCTAGGGTTCTTAGAAGGTGTGAAGGGATAAAATAGTGGGGTAGGTAATTTTTTGAATAGGTAAGGAAAGCGGGAGGATGGATGTCAGTTGAAATCCGGCGTGAACGGGATACCAACAAATTAGAAGCAGAAAAAGTTTGTTTTCTGCTATTAAATAGTAGTAGGCTGCAAATTCAATGGAGAGCTCCAAACATTTGGAAGAGATAACCACTTTGATACTATTGGGCTACACATACACCATCTGAAAGAAATTCAAAAATTCAGCATTTCGATAAAAAAAACCAAGAGAAAACATCTCGAAATATCACAACAATAGCCAAAAGTCTCATAAATAACAAAATAATAGCATATATATATATATAGGTTCCTAAAACCTAATTAGAAATATATAAATAAGAAATAATGTCAGAAAAGATAAAAAAATGAATATGCATAAATTGAAGATTGGCAGTCACTTATGCCAATTCCCACAATCGGGGGTTTTTCCGAATCCTTACGGGACGGGATCTCCACTTATTTTACGGAGTTGGAATGCGTGAATGATGAATCCCTTGAAATTGCTGCATCTCGTGAAAAAGGGTCCCATATCTCGTTTGAGACGCTCCAGCGTCTCCCTCTCTCTTTATATATGCCATTATGGTGAAACCCAATATCTCTTCGTCGATTTGCTCTTCGTCGTGTTTCCTCCTTTTCGTCGTGCTTCGTCTGAGACCTATCCGAACAAAACCACGTCTCTGGCGCGTCCCGCTGCTGGACTTGGCAGGGTTACAATTGATCCCTTTCCAGTTTTCACTCTTCCTTCCGCTACAAATTTGTTGTTCTTTCATCGTGCCTCCCTCTTGTGGTGATGGTTTTGGACAGATCATATGCTACTGCCCTTGCGGGAGTCCACGCCTCAGGTACTCCTAAATCATGTTATTTCTTTCATTCGTTTGAGTTGGTGGAGGATATTAAGAAATCTAGTATGAAGAATGGGAAGTTTGTCATCTTTTTTACAAAAGCTAAATGTAATAAACTTTCTTCCTCTTGTCGTCTGAATTTGATCGGAAAATTTTTTTACGGTCATCCTAAAATGAAGTTTATTTGTAAGGAATTTCAGCTTATGTATCTCGTTAGGGAGTGAAAAATTAGACTTCTAGATGGAAGACACATTCTTATTCAACTTAATAATGAAGATGATTATTCGCAATTATTTACTAGAAGAGTAATCTGGATTGATGACTGAGCAATGAAGATTCTGAAATGGTCAATGAATTTTGACCCACAGACAGAACCACCAATCATTCCAGTTTGGATTCGCCTCTCTGACTTGGAATTTCATTATTTTACTCAAAAAGTTGTGTACTCTATTGCTTCAGCTTATGACCATCCGCTCAAAACAGATATTCATACTTTTAATCTTTCTCATTTTTCTGAAGCCAGAGTACTTGTTGAAAAAGACATCACAATACCATGGACATCACTTCTGAGGAAATTTGGTTAGACACACAATACCATGGATATTGGCAAAAGGTTGTGATTGAACATTTCCATTCGTATTGTTCGAATTATCGTATGTTTGGTCGTTCCAGTTTTCAATGTCATCATCTACACCCCCACTTCAGATCAAGGAAACAAAGTGTTCTGCCAGAGACAGTGATTCCCTCTCCTCCTTATATGCTCCAAGTTATCAATAAAATTGATCATCAAAAGGATACTCTTGAAAATGTCACTATTTTCACGGGCAATATGTCAACCATTCAGCCTCCACGCAATGTTATAGTTTCCCCATCTTTGGAACCTCCTTTTGTGGGGGCGAGTGAGATATGAAAGACTTCGTATGCCCTAAAACCTATCACTAATGTTATGGATGACAACATTATTGCTTCTCTACCGTCTGATCTGGTCGAGCAAGATGTGAATGTTACTTAGGCACATGGGTTTCATGATGTGCAATAATTTACGCCTGTCCGGCCACATTTGGACCAAACTACTGATCAGATGAATCAATCCTCGGATGAAGAATGACTTGTTTTTACATCCAGAAAGAAGAAGAAGACTGGAGACCTACTTAAGATTAGGAATTTGATGGATGATACTTTGGTTACTTCGAGTAATGGTACGCACCTCACCAATTTGTTAGCCAGCTTTCTTCTGAGAACTCGAGGCAGAGACAGGACTAAACCGAGCCGTCCCTAGTTTTTTGCACGCGTTGGTGGTTTTTGGTTTTTTGATCTTATATGTATTTTTTCTTTTTTTGGATTGTGTGTTGTATTGTGTGAGTTGAGTGCCTTCTTTTAGGCTCACTCTTACAACATATCTGTATCTTTTTCTCTTTAAAGGCTCCTCCTAGAAAAGGTTGTCCAACATTTTTCCATCTCCTCGGCTGCCATTAGAGAGGAAAGAGCTCGTCTTTGCAAGGGACCTTCTTCTTCTTTCTGGAGAGGCTGATTTCCTTTGAGGTAAAGAGCTTAGGAGAAAGGTGAGGAAAAGGTTTTATTTCATTCAACCCTCTTCTTCTTCTTCTTCCTCCTCTTTTTCTTGATTTTCCACCAAGGGATTCTCTTCTCCTCCTTCATTTCTTTCTTCTTCCACTTTTCTTGAGTGTGCAAGGAGTTTTTCTTGGAGAAAGTTCCTAAATAAGCTGTTGTTGGAGGACAAGGAGAACTTCATCTCTCCTATGATGAAGGAGAGCTTCTTCACTCTGTAGGTAAGGAGTGGAGAACTGAGCTTGGAACTTTGTCGGATTCTGCTTGTAGAGGAGAGCTTTTTCGCTCTTTGGGGAAGGAGCGGAACAAAGTTCACTAGAGCAACGTCGTAGCGTGGATAACCAAAAAGAATGCTTCGACCGTCTTTAATTCCTCGCTCCGGTAACAAAAACTGAATGTGACAAACCTTAACTACTTAAAATTGTCAAAGTGAAAATTAATTTAGGAGATTTACTTTATTGTCAATATTTTATTAAGCTTAAATTGTTTAAAAGAAATAATTAAAGAAGATGACAATTAGGATAATAATAAAAAAATAATTAATATTACATCATACATGAAAGGGTCAATTAAAGGCAAATTGTCTTCTAATAATAAAATTAACATGTAATAAATTAATAATATTTCTGTATGCATTTGACTTTAGATTTTTCATTGGAGATGATTGAACAGAACATTTAGAATCATTAGTGATTGAGATAAGTACTCATGTTCTTTTATTATGATAATATTTTGCTTCATCTAGATCAAATACATTTACTCATACTATCATTAATTATATTGAAATTATTGTAAACTCTGGATTTTGATATCTGGTGAATTTTTGTTCATATTTTTAGAATGATATGTGTGCACAGTACCTATTTAAATTATCATCAATATGGAACAATATTTTTGTATGTTGTCTGTTATGACAATTAAAATAAAATGTTTATTATTAGAAAGTGATATTTTTATTGTATGTTTGTATGTGCATTATTTACTATGATTGAGCCACTCTTTTATAGTACTAGTGGGGGAGCAAGGATATTGATATTGAAGTACCTTAACTGGTAAAAATTTTTAAACGGTGCTTTTGTAACGGTTGTACGGATAAATAATGATTTTATAGGGAAATTGTCATATATGCCAAATAATTCTTATGTATTGTTTTATTTAACACCCTATTTATACTTATAACATCTTGGTGTCATAAACATAAGCATGAAATAATAGAGTTTACTTTTAAAATGGTAATGATGGTGGTATTTTTTGCTGTGATGTTAAAGATTTAAGTCATATGCATGTAAATATGAATGCTTAGGTGTTAGATAGGTAAATGCATGAGAATTGTGTGGTATGGATGTAAATGGGCATTGTTTTATTTTGCAGGGTTTGTTCAATTCTATTGCTTACGGACTCAACTCATCAGTGCGCCAGGCAATTGCTGAAAGATTGGATATGTAAGCTCCACTCGGGACATTAGATCTAACATCGGTTATTTTTCCTCTTTAAACTATATAGAGCAAAACTTTGTTTGAGTAACTCCAGAAGTGAGTAATCCTTCACCTGAAATGATTATTGCTACCTTTCAGATACTTACCCGAGAAGTTCAAAAGGCTGTTTCCTCAGGCGCGTAAAAGTCAGCAACAAGACCAGGAACTAGCTTCATTGATGGTTGAGAGCTAGTAGGGAAATTATCAGTTACTGTTCATGTGGTAACTTTGCCGCCACAACTGGTAAAGCTGTATTTCATTTATATTTATTTGTTATTCCATAAGCCAATTTAAGCTGTGGAAAGGTTGACGCATTAAAAGTAGGATTTTATTAGGGAAATTTACATAATTATTAATCAATTCTTATGGATATACGTATCTCACACCTAAATTTTTATATTTACAGGCATAGCACTTTACCCATGTATGAAAGATGGATTTGACCATTAAAAAATATAATTAGTGTTTGATGTTAATGTGATATGAATGAATTGGGTGCTATGCGTTTTAAAATGAAATTTTGATGTGAGAGATGTAAATCCATAAAAATTGAGTGTTATGCATGTAAATGCCCCCTTTTTTTATTAGGAGATAGTGTCAATAGAGAGTTTAGTTTAATGAAATGCTGTCACCTTGCACCCTTAGTCCTTATGCTGTTGGTATGTTGTAAATGATGAAACTGGGCTAAATCTTCAGTAAAATTCTTTTAGTTTTCATTTCCGTGAGAGAAAAAGCAAATTACTCAATAGTTTCTCATAAAGTTAAATTCTTGCTGTATTTGGCTTGGAAGTCGAAAGTTTGTAGCCATCCTTTTCTTAATTAACCACACGTCTTCGTGCTATCGTCTTCAAGCTATAAATCGGTAGGGTTAGGAAGAATAACTTCTATCTTATTCATCCTTTAACATAGCTTGAATTATAGCCTTTGGTATGTCTGGTTGAACTCCCACGGATCATCTTCGAACGCTCACAATTTTAAGTACTGAAGTACAATATACTTGTAATAATATGTTATTTACGTTACAACTTTGAAATAATAAATAAGAATCTGAAAAATTATTCATCAAGAAAAAGTTTAGTGCAGCGGTTTCTTTGTGTCCATGATATGAGGTTTAATTTTGAGTTTGAATCATAGAACCAGACATGTATTCATGGGAGTATTAAGGCTTTTTAAAATGTTCTGTACAAAATATAATAAATAAAATATTTGTTTAATCAAAATTTTTGCATGTGGTTACTGCAAATTTATGAAAAAAATATTACATCAGTACTACGCACGTAGAGTAACGTGCATAGCCAATGAAATCACGCCACGACACCCGCACGATAAAGAAAAAAACGACGTAGTAACACGAGGAATATTCCCCCCGTGTTATTCATGTGTTATTGTGTGTTATTTATATGTTATTGTCCTGAGAATATTTCTGGTGTTATAATAAAACAATAAAACATCAATAACACATGAATAATACATGAATAACACGGGGGAGGGGGAGAATATTCTCCCGTGTTATTCAACTGTTTTTTTCTCTGTCGGGAATATTTCCCGTGTTATTCAGGTGTTATTGTGTGATATTCATGCGTTATTGTCCTGAAAATATTCTTGGTGTTATAATAACACATAAATAACACAATAACACAAAAATAACACGCAATAACACATGAATAACATAAGAGAGAATATTTTTTATGTTACTGCGCCATTTTTTTTTCCTTGTCGCACGGAATGTAATGACATGATTTTATTGGCTACGCTAATATTTTTTCGAATTTATGATGCCAATACCAACAAGATAAGTTACAAAATGCCCCCTTGGGCTGTTAGGAATATATAATACTGGAGGGATATCATTTTTAAAACCAAATCGGTCTGCCAAGGCCAGTAGAGAGGCTGGAGCAATGGGGAAATACCCATTCATGCTGAGTGGTGGGCCTAAGAAGTTCTACAGGCCCATCTATGATTGGTGCAAAATTAAACGTTATTAGCGATAGCTAGTAAAATTACGTAATTAGATTAATTTAAGTTTTAATTCCATCAAAATTACACAAAATGCAAGTTTGCAGCATACTGATTCAAGCATAATAGATAATTTTTCTTTAAAAAGAAATTTTTATTAGGGGATTACCTTTTCTTCTTTTCTTTTTTTTTTTTTTTTGTTTGTGGTTTGACATTTATATAATACTATATATTTTTAATATTTTCAATGTATTCATTCATATGGTAGGCCATAAATAAAAAAAAATGTAGCGTGCCAGAATGTGATGATCATGTATATTATACTTTTCACGATGCACATTAAAACAATGAAAAAAATGCTTTGATTTGGATGGGGAATTATCCTTTTGGGTTCAAATTCTCTACAATTGACATGATTACTGTTTCAGTCAATGCCATCCCACCCTTGCAATGAATTTTAACTGATTGTGCTTGAATCCACAAATTATTATCATAGTCATTCTGATTTTGCTTTGATGAATTCTAAGTTCCAACTCCACAAAACTATGGGCGGTTCTGAACTCTAGCACCCTTTGCTTTTCTCACATTCCCTTTATTGGTTAACTAAAGTAAACACAGAAGATCAAATGGGCTGCAATTTGAAAGGCGAACAACAGCTTGAAATTTCATTCATACTATACACTACAAAATATTTCATGAAGCATATGCTTTAGGAGTCTTCCATTGCTTCTCAGTTCTATTTCTACAAGCAGAAACTTTCTCGTCTATTTCCATGACCTGATTCTTCTAGTGGCAATTAATTGTTCTGCTCTCCCACCTCATAAATGGAAGCAAGAAAAACAAAAGATTATTCAAATTCTTGAATCAAAGCTATCCAATAACGTTCGTGCGTAGCTCTCCGATTGAACTCTTAATCACTTCCTTTTTTATTCAGACATAAAAATCTATAAAATTTCATCTGTCTTAAGCGGGGTTTACATGGAAGAAACATGGCTCTGGCGCCAAGTAACGGCAATGGGGCTCCTCACCTCATGAACTCCATCACTCCAAGAAATCCAACCAAACTGTTGTGAAGTCGCAGCAGCCATCACCGTGCCAGTAATCGAAGCAAATGTGATCTCGTAGGTTAAGCTCTGGTCTATAGAATCGAACACCAGCTTGCTTGGCGTAACCGTCACGTTTACGCCCGGCGGACTGGAGATCTCTACATCATACACCTTGCAGCCGGAATCCCCGCATCCCGACCCACCAACGTTCTTCACCGTTCTTCTATAAGTGACCGCGTCTGTTGACGCAGGGAAGACTACAGAGAATGACGGATAGTTGAGTTCTCCGGGACTCGTCAATGGCTTTGAGGAGCAATTGACGCTGCTCCCGTCCCTGGTAAAGACTGATATTTGTTCAGCCGTGTAGTTGACAGAGCAAAGGAAGGCGAGGTAGTCATCAATGCCGGCATCATAAACCAATCCCGGATCGAGGGCCTTGTTAGGGTCCACATGGCCAGCGCCGCGGATGAAAGGGGTTGACTCCTTGCCTGTAGCGAGATCCTTGATGATCTGGCCGATGTTGTCGAGGTTGTAAGCAGTGGTCATGATGGCGGACTTTATAGCCGCCGGGCTCCAATCTGGATAAGCCCCGCGTAGGAGCGCTGCGATCCCGCTGACATGAGGGCAAGCCATTGAAGTGCCGGAGATGATGTTGAAATCGACCCTTCTCGGGTCGTTGTCTAGGTCCGTCGGGCTCGCGGCTCCCGTCCAGGCGGCGAGGATGTTGACGCCTGGAGCGATCACATCCGGTTTCAGGATCTCCGGCGTGCGATAGTTGGGTCCCCGGCTAGAGAAAGCCGCCACTTTCGGTGCCGGTGGATCGTCGCCAATTACGGTTCCCCTGAAGACAATGGTAGCGGACGGAGTGGAGGCCGAGCTGATGTAGGCGCGGATCTTGTCACCGGCTGCTTCGCCGACCATGGTCGCCGGAATCAAATGCGGGTCAGCGATTAGCTCCTCTCCATTCTCCTTTGTGTTTGCAAGAATCATGCCGACTCCGCCAGCGAGCTTCACGGCACTTCCCTTGTCAACCCTGGCGTTCCCACCGCGATCGCAGAGAACGATCTTGCCGACGACAATGGAGGAATTGAGAAGTCCGGAGACGCATAAGCGAGAACCGGCATCACCTCCATAGACCAAAGGTAGGTCGGCAGCGGTGACATTGTCGGATCCAGCGTAAAGGGAAACACCATTGTAAAGGCTCCCATCGCCGAGAACAACATCAGCCGGAAACTCACGGTCAACGGTGGAAGCCCCT